GCGCAAGGCACAAGGCGGGCCGCCACAGTGAAGTGAGTCAAACACCGCATACTGAAATTTTCTGGAAAAGAACAAAATCCAAAATTTTAAGATTTACCAGAATCAAAAGTTTTTAAAAAATGCAATTCAATAATAAACAAGTTGATACATCAGGGTCAACAACCAAGTCAGTAGTGTAAGCTCTAAAATCAAAATCTCAATCTCTGCCTCCTAAAAATAAAAGAAAATATAACAACTGTGGTGGTGGTGGTGGTGGTGGGTCTGTCTTTGGTTGTGTTGTGTTTGGTGAGAGGCGAGGTTCTTCAACAGCCCTTAAACTCAATCAAGAAATATAAAACTGCGGTGGTGGTGAGTCTGTCTTCAGTTGTGTTTTGTTTGAGGGGGTAAGAATTACTCATCAACCTTATTTATAAGTATATTTTTTTGCGAAAACGTCAAGTGAACTCTAATTTCGGTCAACATAAAGATAGTTACCTTAATTATAATGTTTCTCCACTTATGGTTGGCGCCAAAATTTATGGAGAACTGTACCAAAAATAGGCTTGAGTAAACAAATATTGTGATGATATTTGAGGATGAAATGGTGGCCAAATACCAATGGAAGGTATCTTTAGAAGAACAGTAAAGGTCAAGCCATCAAGATCAAATGTATTTGGTTAATCTGATAGCGAATAACTGTTGCACTTATCGTCCAAAGAATTTTTCTACAATATAGAAAGTTCAAGATTGTGTGTATGTTTGTGTCTGTACGTGCACGAGAGGAGGGAGGGAGGGTGGGAGGAAGAGGCATGGGAGATTTGACTGTCACAAGCTAGTAGCAGAGAAAAGCTAAATCTTCAAACTGTAGTAAGAATGCACTAGAAGTTGAGATATTATTTTCCACCCTTGATAGCATTGTATATTAATCAAATCTAAGGTTATCATCTATAAAACTGGACATGTGAGTGATGTTAGACCAAAAAAATCCAATTGAAAATGTGCAAAAGAGTTGCCGAATAATAGCACATATGTCCTCAAATGTCATATGGTCATCTTACCCACGTTAATAGAAAAAGTGAAAATAAGCTATTGAAAACAAATGATTTTTTGAAATTAACACTATTTAGATAAAAGGATAGGCCAAAGGAAAACAAAGTAGGATAGGGGGGAAAAGTACCCTCTAAGTTCCCCGAAGTCCACGAACTCGATCCTGAATTAGCTTCCTCTCCCAATCAGCAATGTCTGCAAAAGCATGATCAGGGAGGCTTTCAAATGGCTCCTTCCATGGATCATTCTTAGCAAGATCGTAGGTTGCCCCTCGAATTGCTGTTCTATTAGGCCCACAAGGTCTTTTCAAGGTAAGAGTGTCATATGCCGCGTTCAACTGCTCCATAAGCATGCAAACCAACATGTTAACAAATGCAAATACCAGTTAGCATGTAAACAATATGAAAGAAATTACTAAGATTTCAAGTATTGGATAGGGTAAATTTCATAGGAGCTCATAAAAGCCCCTAAACTTTGGGCATTTGCCACAGGAACCG